CCTAAAAAAGGATAAAAGCCCCTAAATTAAGGGACCATTAGTCCATGGCTTCCATAGGGTGGGATAGGTGGGGCTAGCATAGGTGGGTCTAGCCTGGTCATTAGGGTCCATTTCGTGGCTGTGGTGTCATTAATTTGGTCATTTTGGCATGGCCTAGTCAATTTTGGAGCATGGATTCAATTTGGGTTAAATTGTCTTGAAGTTGGGTTTGGGTTAGGCTAGCCATGAAATTCAGCCCACTTGATTGAGTAACTTGGTGTAGATGATTGTCATAAAGAGTTTAGAAAAGATTTGGAGTGGTTTTGAATTGATTTGGAGGTTCAATTTGAGGGATTTTGAGCACTTGATCAATTTGGTGATGTTGGGTTAGACTTGGGTTTAAACTGGGCTAGAGTTGGGTTAAGTCCAAATTTAGAGTTTAAAATGGTCTAGGGGAATGTCATGAAGAGTTCTCAACATTAATTTAGTGCCAATTTTGGGGTTAAGGCTTTCAATTTGGTGGAATTTGGGCACATGACTAAATTGGGCAAATTTAGATATTTTGGATTTGGGTTGAAATTGAGTGAAATTGAAGCTTGAACAAGGTCAATTGAGGGTTCAATTTGATTTTTGGAGATGTTTCAAAAAGTTCATGATGTATGATCGGGGCAATTGGAAAGATTTAGGGGTTCAGTTGAGTGGGATTTTGGCTTGAGGCCAAATTGGGCCTTTTTGATTTGGGTTGAAATGAAACTTGAATGTGGGTCAATTGGGCTTGGATTTAGTTTGCATGGAGTTTTATCATGATGAATTTGAATTTAGAATTGAAATTGGTGGGAATTTGGGTCAAATTGATGGACATTTAAGGTGAATTTGGGGAAATTGAGCCTTTAAGGGCAATTTCCGGCTTTTGGTCAAAGTTGGTCAAATTGGGTTTAATTGAAGGGTTCAAATTAGTAAGGGTTCAAATTGAAATGATTTTGAGGGTTTTGGGAAAGTTTGGGCCACCAAGGATATTTTTGTAATTTTGGCAAATTTGGGGGTATTTTGATAATTTTGAAAATTTTGAAAGGTTTTGGGCAATTTGGGTAGTTTCAAATGGTTTGAGATAAATTTTGAACAAATTTAGGTATTTTGGGTGAAATTGAGAATCTTGGTCAAATTTGGGGTTTTGGGGTGTTTTGGTAAATTGAGTAGATTTAGGGGCAAAATGCTAAGTTTGGTATTTTGGTGAAAGTGAGGTGCCAACCACCCTATTTGATCCATGGACCAATGAAATCTCCATTTGGTTCCTCTATTGATTGGTCTTGGCTAGACCCTAGCCTAGGGCTAGTGGGGTTAGGGGACCACCTACACGAGACTCCCAAAAGGATCAAGGGACCAAGTTTGGGCTTAGGGTTGTGAGTGAATGTGAGTGAATGTGAGTGTAAGTGAGTGAACTAGCTCCAGACCAACACCCAGGGTCAACCCTAAGGCCAAACAGTCCTATGGGGAATCCCCTTGAGCTCCCCCATATTGACCCCACCTACCAAGTGCTAGAGGTCAGGACTAATACGTGGAAATTCAACTTGAGCAAAGAAGAGTTTAGAATTTCTAATGGTGAAGGTTCCTTTTATAGTCCTCTAGGAATAGTCAACATGAAAGTCCTATGGCTAGACCTTAGGCTACTAAAGAGGAAAGAGCTAGACCTCAACCAAAAGTGAGGTCAGCAATGATCAACACGAAATGTCCATTAGAATTATTAGCCATTAAATGTTTGACAAATTTTAAAGAACAAAGATCCTATGGGGATGGGTAGAGAATTTTGAAAGGAAAATAATACAAACATAAATTGCAATGAGACAGAGAAGTCATCAATTTTTACATAACTTGCAAAACATATATAAGATTTAGCTTTAATACCAAATTATGTAAATGAAAGATATACTATTTATGATGCCATAAATGATTTATGAATGAAGAAGAAGATTAATATTATTTATAAGGATAATGTAAAAGCTTATAAATGTAGTTTTTATAGAAGACTCTCCTAAGTCTTCATAAGGGAGTGAGCTATCAAGTTATATCTTTATAATGCCTACAAATAATCCATAAACATAACTCATCTAATTTCTATTACAACTTATTACATATAAATAACATTTCAAACACCAAATAAATAAATAAAAATTATATAAATAATTCTCAAAGGAAGGGAGTGGCCTACTCCATCATGAGTCCATCGGCCTTTTCTTTGTGATTTTATGGGTTGTTTGCTTGATTGAATGAAACAATCCAACCATACATCTTTGTTTTAGTGCCATAAAGAAGAGGAGAGAGAGATGAGCTAAATTTTTAACTCCCCGCGTCAAGATTCCACATTTGAAAATAGAGTGGCGCCATGATTATTTTAAGATAATTAATATCTTTTGTGATTGCTTAACTTTTAATGTAAATAATAAATTATAGTTTTTTACTTTCAATTTGATGAAAATTTATGTTGTTATCTTATTTGAAAGATGCCCTTTACTTCTTATATTTAAGTGTTTATTATATTCTTCAATATTTGCATTTTGATGTCATAATAATTAGCAATGATGATAGTGATTATGATGATGATTATAAATAAATAATTTTTCAAAGTTACATATAATTATCATATTAGTCTACATCACAAAGTCAATCAACTTATTCTCTAATATCAAATAGGTGTTGCATGTCACTCTCAAAATTTACACCTACTAAACATTATCCTCTTAAGAAAAAAAAAAAGATGTTTTTTTTTTCTAAACCGCATTAGTTTATATTTAAATTTTGTTAATGCTTCTCATTTTAAGGCAAAATAGAAATTTATTCCTTTGTCTTAAAGTGCTAAAAAAAAAAACAATGGGTTTAGAGTAGTGGATTGTTACCATTTGTTATAGTTATTAAATTAGATGATTTCTTTATTGTAAAGCCACAAAATGCTTTTGGTATTTTGATTGGTGAACTTATCATAGAAAAAAGGTTAAATAATTTTAATAGTTTTAGGATATCTTATTTCTAACAAAGAAATTTAAATATTTTAGCGCTAAATATTAGTCAAACTATTGGAGAACTCGACATCCTCATCATACTTTTATGGAAACTCTTTGCCCCACTTACCTTCAAGGAACCTTCAAAATAGAAAAAAGACGTCATATTCAAGGTTTATTTATATCATTTTTCATACATGTGAATGTAAATTAGTACTCATTAAAATGATAAAATGGTCATTTTAATTTGTATTGAAACAAATATGGCTTACAAGATTGAAGATTAAGAGTTTATGAAAGATTCTAGCCACATTATAAATGTAGTATTTACATTAAATTAATATATTGCATCTTGAAAATAGCTTTTACATTATTACAAATTTATAAACTTTAGAATTATATTATAAGATGAACAAATCAAGTCCATAGAGGATTCTATATATTATTATTATTATTTTATTTAATATTATAATATCTACTTGTAACGTATTATTAATTTCAAATGTATCAATAGAAGTATTCATATGCTATAGAGAGGCTGAAACAAATGTAAATGAAGTTGATAATCTTGGAAAAACATGTAGGATTTGTAAAAGCTATATATTGAGGCAGCACAAGTATAAGGAGTTGTTTAACAACAAGAAAATTTAAGTGGGATTTAGTATCTCATGCCAACTAAAATCTAAAATTTATTTAGCCTGATTGAAAGTAATTTTGATTAAATTTTGATGAACTGCTTGTTTTTTTAAAATAAATTTTATATAAAAATTTTAATGATAAAAATAAAATATATTATTTAAAAAATTATTAAACTGTTTCAATGCAGTATATTAATTAAATGTAATGACTTTAAATAAATAGTTTTGATCATTAATACTATTAGTTAATAGTTTATTGGAATTATTAAAAATTTTGATTCATTAATAGTATCGGATAATCTAAATTAGATATTAGTTAATAATCTATAATTAACTTAAAATTATAAATTTTATTTAGTTACATTAATTATAAATAGTATCAAATTATTTGAATTATAAATTTTAGTATATTAATATTGATTATTGAAATTAATTAATGATTAAAAAAATATGTAACCTCTAATTAATATCAATAGTTTAGAAATTATCAAATTTTTCTAAAACAAAGCAATACAAACAACGGAGATGTAGCCTCCCCTTCACTACTTCCCAATTTATCGAAACCCTTCTCGCTCGTACCCAATTTCTGAAATGCTCATCCCTTTCTTTTGCTTCGACCAGAAGAAGTCGTGATTGGATTCAGTCAGAGAAGACATTGACGAGACCAACAATGTGAGAAAGAGGAAAGGTTTTCCAAAAATAAGTGAAGATAACCCTCATATGTTCCCCCATCTCTTTCATGCTTTTAGTTTACCTCAATCTTGTAAATACGCCTAAATATCAATTTTACTAAGTTAAGGATTTAAGGTCAAATATAAGAGAAATATAATTTAAGATTCTATAGGGGTTGCTTGGCTAAAGGTAGGATTTATACTATAAATCCAAATTTAGTAAATATCGAGATGTTTAAATTCTAAAAAAATATTTGGTATGATATATATTAAATACTTAAATCTTTTTAAATCCCGTGAAACTATTTCACAATTTATTTAATGATTTAAAATTATTACTTATGTATATAATTTATTTCAAAAATTAAATATTGTGAATTAATTATATAATTATTAAGTATATTTAATTTATTTTAAGTTTTTTATTTGTAATTATGCCAATCATTAATTAAATTTATGTTGAACTAATGAATTATTAATAATAGTTGTATTAAATAGTAAATAAATGTTGAATTAATAATATTAAAATTTTATTAACCTAATTAAAATTTGATAAGTAATTTATTTTTTATTAATTAATTATCAAATAATTACATATAATAATATAAATTTATGTACAAATTGATAGCTTATTAATTAATTATTAGTTATTAATCAATTAAATTAAAAAATTTAACATTAAAATAAAACAAAATAAAATAAAAATAAAGCGACAATTATATCCCTCCTGCTCGATACCCTCGATCGCGTCCCTCTTCCCACCCACGCCATTGCCCGTTTTCGCCCCAAACCATCGCGCCTTGTTGACCAAATCCTCGTGATACAATTGCGATTAGAGCCGGCTGAGAAGGCAACGACGAGGCCCGGCGTAAAAAAGAACTCCGCTCCGCTCCCAACCAAAACCATTGAGGTAGGTAACCCTCGTCTTTCACCCACTTCCTTCAACCCGCCTTCGCGCGCTTCAGCTTCTCTTAATCCTTTAAATCCTTATTCCAATGGGATTTACTAAATCCTGGATTTAAGGTAAAACAAATGAAAAACGGGATTTAAGAACCTGTAGGATTTGAAGATGTTATTTTTGCTGTTTAGCAGGTCTTAGGTTAAATCCTTAAATCCCGCTCAAATCCTGCTCATATTCTGCTTCCAAACTGCCTATCGCAAGCATAAATGTATATTATATTATTTTGAGATTTTAAACGCTAGTAGTTTCAAACCTTTTAACAAAATAATAAATATCTATAAATGATACTATGAATATGTGAGAAATAAAATTTTTAAATTTATGTACTTTTAATTTATTAAAAATATTAGAGATTCAATATATAATTTTAAATAGGCAAATGCCCTTGATTTTGTTAGCAGAATTTCTAAAGTGTAAGTGGCTCCTTTAAGCAAAAAATTTATACTGCCCAGAAGAAGTATTTGCAAAATGATGCTAAATTTAATAACAATAGCTTAAAAAGAACATGAAATTAAATAAAAAAAGGTCTAAGAAATAAATTATATGCTGCAAATTTTAGAGAACTACCAAATGAAGCAAAAATTTCATTCTTTAGTTGATTTTTCTATACCTAAATAGCAGGCCATCTCAATTGCCAAGAGAGCAAAGTGGATCATGGTTTTGACTGTTTAAAAGATTTAGGCCATCTAATTGCACCTCTAGCATCATAATACTTATCATTGTCCTCATAAAAGACCAATTTTATTAATGAAGTTAAACAAAGTTTGGTGATAAAGAGCAAAAGCCCTTGATTCATGGAACTCCGAAGGCTACTATAGGCATAGTGTGGGACCAACATAGAATAATGACCATAAAAAAGAATGTTAGTTTCATAGGTGTACCAAACAAAAATTATTTGGCAGGAGGAGATATAGTGAATTGTCTTTAAAAATGACAAGTGCGTACGATAAATAAAAGTTTTCTGCAACTAAGAAGATTTGATCAGTAGGGTGAAGATTCTACCATTATAAAGAAGAGGAACAAGAGTCTCATATACTCTATATTTTAACAACCATATAAGATAAAATCCTATTCAAGTAGGAAGTATGAAGACATGCAGTGGCCTTATTTTTTTATCATTTTATTAACACCATACGTAATAAACAAAACAATGAAAGTAGAGGCAGAAGAACCTACTTTTAATCTTATGAAGCTAGGCTTCGACAAACAAGATCGAACATTTAAGCAATATTGAGGCTCATAAGATGATAGGCTATGCCGAACTTCGAACTAGTTAAATATATGGGATAGTTAAAACATTAGCTATTAATAGTTTCATCTTAATCTTAATAGACTTCTGAATTGCTATTAAATGAATTTATTATGCTTGCATAGGTCCTTGGTAAATTTTTAACCCATTCTTAAATGATAGCTTCATAACAAGTAAACATGATGAATAAGGGTAATGCCAAATTTTTTTCATCTAATATACATCAGGTAGATGATCACATGATTCAACAAGAAAGTTCATATGATTAGCTTAAGAGAAATTTAACCACATGATTTGATCACCCTCATGTCCAACGTATAAAGAGATAGAGGGATTCCTTAGGTGTTTTGAGCCAAGCAGTGTCATAATCAAGGTTCTAATCACCATTGATAATGAAAATAAGGAAGAGTAAAATATCAATGCGCATTTGCTGTAATAAGTTAAAAGAATAGATTTTCCTTGAAATTAGGTGTTGTAAAAAGGGACATGGGTTCCACATCCAATAAAAAATTGAATATATGGCTCATTCTATAAATAGCTTTATAAATCCATTTCCAAATATAAGAGAATCTACAATTAGTAGACTTCCATATTGAATCAAGTTCTAAGAAAAGTATTGCCCTTTATTATTCTACAAACTGGCACTAGTTATAATTGCAAGCACTTAATGATGGTGTCTTGAACCCCCATTTGCTTTTAGAATACATGTGTAATCCCATGAGATGCGATGAATTTTGCTTGCACTGATGCCAACATGATATACGAGTTTTGCATAAGTGCTATTAATTTAATGATTCTTTTTTGGGTAGAGTTAAAGCTCTACGCTAATAGCCCATCAAACATTTTGTAGAAAATTCTAGAAATTATACTCTAGCAGTAAGGGCGAGAAAGGAGGCTTTCCATTTAATAAGGGAGTTATGGAATTTGTCAATTGGGTTAGTAAAATCAACACAATAATGATATTTTGTTAATAAACAGTGCCAAATTAGGTGAAGTTGGTTTATGAAATGATAAATCTCAAATTAGAGTTGATCTGATCATTATTAGAGTGACTCCTAGAAAATCAAATGATATTAAGATTTGTTATGTCCATACTAGAAGACTTTTGAAAGGAATTGAGGATTTTTTAAGACTATCATGGTTAAAAATAATAGCTTCACCAAAATCAAGCATGCCATCAGCATACACGAGGTATGAGAATTTGGTATTCCCCATATTACTTTTAACTAAGGATTCGTTATAGTATTCATCTTCTAATATGCTAGGATGGGTGTTCATGCAATGCAAAAATGATATGATGATAGAGGTAGACCATGTCCTAGACCATTGGAGAAAGGAAGTAATTGTCAATGTTATTATTAATGATGATTCATTTGAATGCATTTGAAATACATCATTTGATGCAAGACATAAATAGATGGAAATCCCTTTTGAGCCATTATGCGCACAAGAAATTTTTTGTTAATAAGATTAAAGACATTTGTTATGTCCAACATGGCACAAAGCCTGTTAAAAGCCAAACTTATTTTTGAAATTATTAAGAATGCCACTAGAAATTAAAACATTGTTAGCATGTATGTGTCTCTATAGATTGCATTTTGTGCTTGGTTAGAGGAATCACATTCTTTATAGAATTGACCAAATTTTTGCAATGATTTTGTAAAATTCATCACATAATGAAGTGATTATACAGTCAATAGTATCAGGGCATGTGATATTTTTTGAATGGGAGAGATGACTATAGTTTTAACTGACTTCGAGAGTTTCTTAATAAGAAAGCAATAATGAATGAAGGATTAAACATGAACACCCTTAATGTTCCAAGAGATTGAGAAGAATTCAGCCTTAAAACCATTCTTGTTTGAAGTTAAATTTTTTTGGGTTGCAATTATAAAAACTTATATTTTCTTATTAGTAATGAAAATGATTAATGCCTTAATAGTGCTTCGGCTCTGATGCTATGAATGGTGTTGGCTGTGGGATACTGGCTGAAATACTACTTAATAGCATTAAATATATCCTTATGAGAGGAGAAGGTACCAATATGAGTAGAAATGGATCTTATGAAGTTGATAGCTCTTTATTGATTTGAGTAAAGAGAAACTTCACATAATCCTTCCTACATACAAGATATTGATCATTTAGAAAGGGATAAATATTTATGTAGTCCAATTATATAAGGGCAAAATATTGATCATATTTGAAAGAATTAATGGTTGATTTGAGGTGATCAACTAAATTCACGATTCACAACTACTTATGAAGAGAAAATATGGTATTTGCCTAATGGAAGTGGTCACAGATAGAAGATAGGACTTGATTGGAAGATTTCTTGGATAACCAAAAATTACTGAACATGAACCAGTGGTGCGACTAAGTAGGCTAACTCAAAAAACATTCAATTTAATACAAATAATGTCTCATAATATATTGTTGCTTTAAGTATAAATATGCTATTGGAAGAGAGATCCATAGGATGAGTCTCACATATATCGTTGTTATTACTTTTCACTTTATAAAAGGTATAGGTTCTCACCTACGTTATTAGATTGAAATATACAAAATTAAAATTTCTCATAATAATTTAAAGAGTCAAATAAAGAAACAATAATCTTTGCAATTATTTTTTGGAATATTTACATACATACTACTCAATATCTAACACCTTAAATTCATTTTTTACATACATACCACTTACCAATTCATGAACAGGTGTATTTCACTTTTCAAAAGTTATAATAGTGGTATTTTGATGTGCTTTGAGAGATTTAGGTGATATAAATGTAAAAAGCAAATTTTAATTGTTAGATATGTAAATACATAGAAATTGAGTGCTATGCATATAAATGCCTTTATTTTTTAAAATTAGCAACATATTTTTCTCCATAGGTAAGGTAATAGGCCGCTCTTGAAGATATATTTCACTTTAGAAGTCTCTTCAAATGTTTACATAGCAACAAACAAAATTAGGGGTGTATATTTGATCGATTTGGAATGATTAGTTGACGAATTTGTTATATGAATTTGGAATGATTTGTTATATGAACCAAATCTTAGGTAGAGCTAATCCAACCAAATTGTAATATAGTTCAATTTATTTGGTCTTATTTCGTTTTAATCAAATTTTAAAATACCAATAAAAATACATTATTAAGTATTATTTAATCCAAATATGAATAAATGAAATTATATAAGTATGGAATTTTGCACTAATTAAGATGGATTCTTTCCAGAACATTGGATCACTTGATGTTTGTTTCCTACGAGTACAACTACAACTTTGAAGATTAAATGATATTTTGCTATTTTTCTAATAAAATTTTAATTTTCGTTGAACAATTTTTTTATTGTAAAAGTAAAACATTAGTCATAATCTATGGGCTTGTTTTAGATCATCTTTTTATTTTATTTTATTTTTTGCTTTTATTTTTTAAGATATATTTGTTTAGTTTATTTATCAAATATTTTTATTTTTTATTTCTGAAAACAAGTTAACCTATTTTTAAAACATTTAAAATGCTTTTATATTCTTGGAGTGTTTTTTGAAAGCAACTACTCTTGTTGCTTGCTATCCTTAGTTGTGCAACCTGCTGCTAACAACTGCTCTCCATCGGCTACTACTACCCACCTCATTTTACTGCTGCCCACCTCATTTTACTGCTGCCCACCTCAGCCATAGATGGTAGTCCAACCAAATATTTTTAATATTCAAAATTTAAATTGAATAAACAAAAAAAAAAATATTTTGAACATAAATATTTTTTTTATTTCAATCAACATATAAACAAAATAAAATAATAGCAAAATGTTCTTTAATAAATATTACTTTGAAATGAGAAAATGAACTATTCTTTTATAAAATGAATCAAATCAATTAAACATATTCACATTTTTTTTTCATTTAAACCAATAACACATCAAATTGCCGCTTGTTGCCTCATCAACCTTGTCCCCCTATTCACCGCATGACATGCTATGCTCATCTCAAGTCTACCACAGGCCCTATATTCCGTTCCCTTTCTTCTTCTGGCTCCCCTTGTCGCACCATTTTGTGCTTTTTTAGGCTATGCTATCGCCTGATTTATCCAAATTTCTCCTTCTTGCGAACATTCATACAGGTCTAGCTTGGGTTCTTGCTTGTTACATTTCCTAACCCTCTTTCTTCCTATACCCTTGAGTCTTCTTCTCACATTTCACATTCTTCCTTCATTGCTCCTTCAATTGAAATCTCCCAGACCAACCCATATCCCTTCTTTGCTCCCTTCCCTGCTCTTGTTAATACCACACTGTTAGGGTAACTGGCACTTCTTGCCATGGGCCCCTTGTTCTTCTTCTTGCTCATCTTTGCTGCACTGATTACTCATTGTTATAATCATTCTCACTTGAGTTTTTCTTCCTTGCAGTGCGACTTTGGGACCATCCTCAGCCTCCCAATGCTTTGCCACTGTTCAATCTTTCCCTTGATTCTTGTTGTCACCGATTACTTTTTCATATTTTCCTATCTTTTCATTTGTTTGCTTACCACCATCTGTCTGCTTTCGTTTTGAATTTTATGTGGCCGTGTTGATATGCATGGATCTTCTTCTAATAATTCAATTATTTCTGCATTCACCCTCAAGGTGCCTTTGTTTGGTGATTTTTTCGTATCAATTTAAGCATAACATCACATTAACATCATTTATGTGGTCCTTGTTAAATCTCATATTCATTTAAATCTGGGAAAGCTTACATAACTAAAACACAATTATTATGTATTTACATTTCTCATACCTAAACTTTCATATTTTCATAACATTTTGACGCTTTAAAACTATGCATGAGAAGGTGTATTTCACTTTTAAAAAGAGGTAATATTGCTATTTTTTGATGTTATATTAAAGATTTGAGTGTTGTGTTTGTAAATATGAAGGTTTAGGTGTGAGATATGTAAATAAGTAAGAATTGTGTGCTATGTAAATGCCCCTTAAATCTAATGTCCGAAATAATCATCTGAACAATTTATCAGGGTTTGGTCTGATTTATCTCTTCCTTGCTAACCAGCGTGCAAGTTTTAATAACCATAAGATTTGCAAGATTTAATATATCCAATTTTTAGTCGAAAAGCCCCTAAAGAATTGAGAAATTTTGACTTAGTTGATTACCGTATGGACTTTTGGTTTGTTATCAAGTCTGTCTCCTTATTTATGGAACCTTTACAGTGTTAGTCCTCGTTTGTTTGATGCTACAAGCAATGTATAGTTGTTATGTAGACTGTTTGTTTGTAGAAGCACCTTATCTCTTTAGTTTGCTCCCCTGCATTTTGCTGGACTGTCTCTTCCTCTATTCTTTGTTGGGAAAATTACATACATAACACCCAATTCTTATGGATTTACCTATCTCACACCTAAACTCTCATTTTTACACTTATAACATTTTACCTATAGCAAAAAAGATGAATTTGACTATTAAAAGGTGATAATGAGTGCAATTTTTCATATGATGTTTGTAATTATGAAAGTTTTGGTGTGAGATATGCAAATATGAAAGTTTTGAGTGCTATGTATGTAAAATCCCCATTGTTTTATTTCTTCCCTTGCCCAGCAGTCCACGATCATCTAATGTGGTATTGCTTGCTAAAAACAGCGCAATCCTGACCTTACCTGAGATTTCTTTGCTACATTAGCTCTTTTTTGTCTTGCACTTAATTATTTTGTTTTGTCAGTGGGGTTTTTTTTTCTTGATAGGTTTATTGGTGGTTTTCTAAAGAATTTTGGGTTCCTAATTCTACTGTTCTGGACTTGATTCTACATTTATTTTTTTTGGAGTTTCTTCTTCTTTTGACAGCTTGATTTATGAGATACGATGGAAAATATTGATTTTATTTATGTGATTTTTAGATAATTCATGGCATCTTCCGATGATGAAGAGGTGGTAGTTACACAATCCATTACAAACTACCATTTTGTGGACAAAGATGGTGTTCCTATCTCGTTTTCAACTTTACCGATCATTATGGATGATGAAAAGGCGAAAGATCCTATACACGAAGTATCGGTTCGTGGAACCATGGATGGAGGGCTTCAGTCGGTCTTCAAAGATGTAGTTGCTTGGAGGTTGAGATTGGAGGGCGATGGTCCAGAGATATTTGTGCTTTCTAAGGACACCAAATGGATAAAACTGGAGAAGCCAAAGAAGAGCTATGAGGAGTCCATCAGAACAACATTGATAACAATTCATTTGCTTCATTTTTCAAAAAATAATCCGGAAGCATCTGTGAAGAGCTTTTGGGAACATCTGCGCCAAGCCTTAAAGTTATTTTTTTTTCTATTTATTTTGAATTTATCAAATGATATGAATTTACTATGACAAGGGTTTGTCTGATTGTTGAATTGTGCAGTTCCTTTGATGATAGACCGAGCGAGGATGAGTTCGAAAAAAATATTCAATTGATTAAGCTGTTCATGGAGAGAGATGAAGGCTTAGCCAAGTCACAGGTTTGCTGTCTAACCCTTTGTATAAGTTTATGCATTTGTTTTTCATGTACTTGGCGCTACTTATACATTCTCTATAATATTTATGCGATTACCTAAGAAGATCTATCATTTTTTGTGTAAATCATTTGCTTAGGAAAACTTCTCTATTTTAAATTGTTAAAATTTTTTATATTTATTAAAACCTATGGTTTCTTGTAAAAGTATTTTCCAATTCTAGATGAATTTATTGTCTTTATTCTAAAACAGTAGGATTAGCATATCCTTCTTCATTTCTACTTTATAGGGCTGAGAAATTTTGGTGAAGATAATTTGTAGTATACTAGAAACCTGTGTTATCCGATTTTATACATTACAATAATTTGAAGCTCTTATTCAACCGAGTGGTAGTTGTTTTATGAATGGAAGTCAAAGTATTAGTAGCAATGTGCAGACGTGCATAGAAAATTAGATTTTAGCATTTAGTAGGTAATATTTATTTTATTTAATGTTTCTTTGAAATTCAGACATTTATTCCTAGTGGAGTGGATAACTATAAATAAGACTCAACTTTTGGAACTCATGGGCTCTTACTCTTGTAATTAGAATACTACTTTTTAATTTTGTGATATCGTTTTGTTAGTTATCTCCAGTCTTATCAAAAGTTCTAGGCACCCTCTAGGAAAAAGTAGAATATCAAATAGAATTTTCTTACTAGCTTCATGCATCTCAATTGTTTTCACAAATCCTCTCTCAATGAGTAGATAAAAGACTATAAAGAATAAGTTAACCATCATTTGATCCCAGAGATTGTATAACATATATTTTATTTAAAGTCGTAGATTGTAATGGATTGAAGGAGCTATTAACAATCAGCAATCCTATGTAGATCTCAAGGAGCAATCATTAAGACGTCTTACAATGGGGATGTCATAATAAGGGAATCACAAAGAGCCAATTAATTACATGTCGCACAAGTCAATAATTAAGCTTTTGAACAGTTAAAATCATGTGTGATTTAACCAACCAAAGATTAATGAAAAATTTGAACACCTAAACCAAGTTTAGAACATTGCAAATTCCATAGAAACACGCTAAAGTTGTAGCTAGTGTAGGGGACCAAAAATCTCATCTTATGCAAATTTGAAGTAAAGGATGCTAAAATTTGAAGTAAAGGATGGTAATGGCTCAATAAATCATTCTCTAGGAATGCGACAGTTTTAAAGTTTTTTCTTAACTTTCTTTTTGCAAGAAATTTGTAGTGTTTTGGATGGTGCAATTGTTTTTTGAGGATTGAATGATAAATAGGAGAGACACTTCTCTTTGAAGATCTGCACATGAAATGAAAGCTTTGTGAGGTTTCTTGATCCTTCATTCATGCAATGTGTTGTGGATTTAGTCACTTCACTAGAAAGCTTGCTGCAATCACATTATACCTTGGAGGAAATAAAGATTGTATTGACTGTCGTCTTATTGATCATTGTTATTGAAGTTTGAATGAAAGGATTAAAATGACTCGACAAATCATTCTCTAGGAATGAAAGTGTTTTCAAAATATTTTTTTCTTTGCAAGGCATTTATATTTGTTTGGATGGTGCAAGCTCTTTTGAATGATAAATAGGGAAGCACGTCTTATTCTAGATCTAGATCGATGCTATTTATGAATGCCCTGCCATTGGAGGCTTTTTGGTCCTTCATTCTCTTAAAATGTTGTGTATTAGAAGACAGTTTACTTGCAAGATTTGTGCTAGAACATTATACCTTTGAGGATATAAACATATAGATGGAAGCTTTAGGCTTTGACATCTATATTAAAGATCATTTGATTTGAATGGTTAATCCATAGTTGAAAACTTAAGATTAATGCTGATTTGATAATAGAACTATCGTAGATTTTATGGCAACTTTAGGGTGTACTGTTATAAGATTATTATTGCTTTATCTTTGTTATTGGAATTGATTTGGGATATGATGCTTCTTCTGGTTGTTGTTGTAGTAAAGAACCCAAAAATATTCTTCAAAGCAAGTCATCTCTCCAATTATCTTCTTTCTAGTCTCGGGAAAATATTTTTCGATTTTGAATTTGTGGCTCCACTTTGGTCTTCCTGTACTTCAAATATTTAAAGGTACCAATATAGTCCTTCTCTTAGGGTTTTAGTTTTAGATGTTACAAACTTACATGTTTCCAGAGTGGTGAAGTAAAGATCATCCCTTGCATATAATCTTGACATGCTTTCTCTTTCTTATATTATTGCTTTTTTTGCTGTCAATGATGAAAAAGTTTTTGATCCTTAAGGTGCCAACTTTTATATCATTGTTAGTGCTGACCTGCTTTCTCTTGCTATTCTTAATTTTGCTATAGTTTTTAGAGAAACATTATTGGTGGATATTGAATACAGTGGTCAAGTTTGCAACATGAACTATTTACTCCATCAGGAGTGTAAAATGCTGTAGAGTTGAGCCCTTTTAATGAAGATTCCTTTAAAAGTTCTGGATTGACTCCTATGGTTTGGTTGGATTCGCTAAAAAATCTCAGGAAATAATTTTTTTAGTGATTTGTCTCTCATTCTAAGAAATGATAGAAAAATGAGAAGCGACTGATAATTCTTTATTTTTAATGATGGAATGGGCAAATAAAAGCTTGACCAACTCATCAAAGGTGTTAGTGGTGCTACAATTAAGGGAATGGAGCCATGTTTGTGTTCGTCTCTTGAGTGTAGTGTAGAATATTTGGCATAAGAGTGAGTCTTGGGCATATTGGATGTGTATGATGGTTTATTTGTGGTCAATATGCTCAGAAGGATTCGTGGATTTCTATCAGTGTCGATGCTAGGCGTCTTGATTTTTGATAACGTCATATAATCTCCAAAATGGAAAAACCTTGGGATGGTCCTGCTAAGGTGGATGCTTATCCTTGCCCTCTAAATGGAACTTTTCTTGAGCAGCTTTATAAATTATTTTAAAGGTTGTTGCATTGAAAGCTTTTGTTATCAGCGGAAATATCTTGTTTTTACCTCTATGATACGTGTTGAAGGGTTGAGAACTATCTAATTTACTTGAGGTGTATTTGTTGAACTTATGTTGCGTAGATCGACTCCCAGTGATAGCGGTGGGAAGGTGGTGGTATCTTGGTTTGATGGTTTAGCTAGATTACCTTTGTGTTATTTGGATTATGTTTCTTGAGATGCACTAGGTTTGGAAGTGTTAATTTTAGACTTACATGAAAATTCGGTTCAAACCTAACATAAAAAATTTGGAATTTGGGTTAACTCATGTAGGATTCACATTGAGTGCATATTTACTTAATGCTAAAACAAGGATTGAGTCTTGTTTTATTCAACTTGGAAACATGAACTTATCTATTAAGTGGAATCCTTTTGTTTTTTTTTTAATTTAAAATTTAAATTTAATAGAATTTATTATTATTTTTTGAAGTTAGTGTACAAATTTGGTTATCATGTCTTCTTCTTGTTGGTTTAGCTTCAACTCAACACAATTCAAACGCTTGTCATATTGGATCAAGTTGAGTTTAGGTTTAATTTAGTGAAATTAGTCTTAAAAATTTCAGCCTGTTTAATAATTGTGTGCTTCGTTTGATTTCATTCTGGTTAGTCATTTTTTGAGTTTAGTTTGAGCATGATATGTAAATCCTAATTGATAATGGATATGTGGAAAATTGGCACCATGAACATTGAAATTTTTTAATCTTGTTTGATATTTTTCTTGAGGAAGCATAGGATCTCCTCTTATGATGTTTATTTGTTCAACATGATCTTTGAGTGTGATAGATATCCCTTTTTAAACCATGCTTTTATATTTGGCGAATGGTGGTGGTGCCAATTCTTTGCTACTTAGAATTTGGTTTGTTGAGTAGTTCCTTGGTTGATGTAAGGGAGAGCAAAACTCCAAAACATTAACATATTTTGTTGATCAACTATGAAGTAGTTAGACTCTTAAATGTGAATCATTGAATTTATCGGATTTGCTTATCAAAGAATTGCTTTTAGTCAAAAGGAGCTCAAATTTTTTTCTCAAATTGTACTAAGTTGTTATGTGCTAGGATTGATCCAAAGAAAAGATAATTCTTTTGGGTATGCCATATTTGCTTGATACATGCATTAATCGTAGAAAAATGGGAGTCTTAATTAAGGAGTGTTTGCCTAGGAAGATATTTCGACACTTAAGTAAATTAGTTGCTTTGAATCTAAGATTGTAAGTGACTCAGTGAAGCATTTTTCTCTATAAATTTCAGAACACTTTTTACCTTCCCATGGGCTGCATGAAGGGTAGTTTAATACATATGTTGAAGTGAATGGTCGATACTATATCTAAGATTTGTTCTAGATAAATTGCCCTTTGAGTGAGAATTGCTATGATCCTTTAGTTGATTAGAGGATTGTACATTCTGACAATTTGCCTTCTAAATTGATGTTGTCAGACCATCTTACCTTGGGGATAATGGATGTATGGATGGAAGCTTGGGCTTTGAGATTCACATTGGAGATGATTTGATTTGGGCGGTGAGATTCTAATTTATGCCTTGGGATTAGTGTTTATTTGATTGAAAGGTTTTCATCAAACTTGGGGTAATTAGAAGCTAGATTTTGAAGGACTATTGTCTTTCATTCACTATTAGGATCCCGGAGAAGCTTGAAACTTGTCACCCTTGCTGAAGTAATATGAATGGAATTTATAATTTTTAGCGGGAATATTGAACATGATTTAAGAAAATAAAATTCCTAATAGCAAAAACAACTAAATTAAAATCACTACCCAAATTGTCAGCTTGCTTGTTTGAACACACATATTTTGCATTTCTGAAAAGCATAAATTTTGAGGTTTGCTGATACAACCCAAAGGTCAAAATCGGCACGATTTTTCATAAAATTTAGGGCAGGCACATCTTATTTTCCGAACATCAAATCAAAGCAACATAACACTAATAATTTGCATGAATACAAATGATAAACACAATACAATTTGAGACGTTGGCAATCTCTCCCAATTTCTACAATTTGATAAGTAGGAAATCTCTCCCAAACTTTAAACCTAAGATACAAGACTTAATCTCATGCATAAATCTAACCCTAAACATAGTAAGCCTATTGATACCCAACAATGATAATAATAATAAAAGACTAAATTGCCCGTAGGTATACAAAAGATCAAATTGGCCTTAGACTAGACACTCCCGTAACAATACTCCCCTGCCAAAAGATACATTGTTCTTAAGGTGTGAAAAAGTGAGCTCCTCCACCATAGTTGTTTCTATTTCTTCATCCTCTGCATCATCTTTACACACTATGAGAACTTGTAATTTTCAATCCTTGCAACGTGTCGTGGGATAAACTTCTCATTAAACTGAAAACATAATCCCTTGTCTCGCTTCTTCTGAATCTCTGTCTCTATAAGGCATTTGATGTGGCTCCCGGTCATGGCTTATTATTCCCATCCCGTGTAGCCTCCTCCCTCTGGACTTACATTGAGACATTAGTATCATCCTAGTTGTAGCGGTTTGGTCTGACACCCCATTAATGCTAGACTTGTCTATCTGGTTCTTGTCTTTCACCATCTGGGCTAGCTCCATCGTTTCTCTCAATCCCTGCGATCTCAATAGTTGGAGTTCTGTTCGTTTGTCGGGCTCTAGGCCCTTTATAACATTTCTCTCCAATCCTGCCTCAGAAATCCTCATCAACCATCTCGACTATAGCTCGAACCTCTCCCTAAATTTCATGATAGTACCCTCCTGATTCAAGACATAGAATTGCTCGTCTAGGTATCCTTCTCGAATAGCTCCGAAACTTTCCAACAAACAATCCTTAAATTCTTTCCATGAACGGATCAGGTATCTAGCATCCCTCCATTGAAGCCATGTTGGGCTTTTCCCTCCAAATTTAATTCTGCCTCCATGAACTTCTCCCTAGTTAGCCCATTCATCATGAAGTATCGCTCCACCCGATATACCCATCTATGTACGGCTTCCATCTCGTAGATCGAAATCTTCAACTTCCTAACCCTACTATCACCAACCAACGACCTCTTTCTCCGGCGTTTCCCCTTATGTATCTTGGGTGAAATTTCCCTCTTTCGATTATAGTCAAACTTCATTCCAATTTCTCACCTTCTTTCTTCATGCTTCTCCAAACCCCTTAAATAACCTCACATCCATGTCTCGGCCCCAACCTCCTCCATCAAAAATCTCTAATCCACCCCCATCAAAATTCTAAGGGTAATTCAGTGATTGTGGATGTTTTCCTCATGTTTGATCTCTTTTCTTTTCAATCTGGCCACGAATTCTTTGATTAACATCTGGTTAGGGTTTGCAAATTGAGCTGCCGATAGGGTTTTGGATTGTATCAAAATTGAGCTTCTTTATCAATCTTCTCAAGGCTCTTGAATTGGTCCTCCATTCGGTTCTCCATGAAAAAATCACTCGAGAAGGCCCTCCTTGTGGTTTTTCATGAAAGAAAATATATTCTTTGTGGTGCGAATCTTTCTTTCATCCAAGATTTGAGTTGACTCATTTTTTTCTCTAGTTTCTTCTTCAAATCTTCTATTTTTTTTTGGCTCCCATTACTCCTTGTACTGTTTCAGAAATCTTTTACGCTGAAATCATGAGCTTCAAAATGTCTATATGTGATTTCGACATGCGCAGAACTCTGGATGTCGCGATCTCTGAATTCCTGTATGCAGTTTGGTGCTTGGTAGCCTGCAGAACTCCAAACATCAAATTCTTGTATCCAGGTTTGGCGTGGAACTTTTTTTCGCGATCGCTGTTTTTCAGGATGTCTTCTACATCGTAATGTTACCTTCTCGACAAGCTATGATTGTGTTTGTATCATTTAGATGCAGCAAAAGGAGAAATGTGCATCAGATCCCTTCGATACCAAGGATTGGGCGCTGTGATCTTGTTGATGCTTCCTGTTTGTTCAATTGCACGTCGCGATCCTGTCATCCCTTCCTCACTATCCTAAGCTCGATTGTATCTCTCGAATGAGAAGGAAGATGGGGTTTTAGGTCTCTGTACATCCTGATCCCCACGAGACCTTAGCTGAGCTCTAATCATGACTGGATCTTGAGGACAGAGCAGAAGGAGAAGAAAAGCTGTGGATCGTCACCGTAAGCTGCAATCCATAGCCATAATAGCGATTACTTAATGAGTACGGAGTGGAAGGAAGTGAGTTTCTTGTTTACTTATGACGAGATTCTTCTCATTTAGCTCCAATCGTTACTGTTGTCCGAGGTGAAGTCACAAAATCTTCTGTATGTCGCGATCCTTCCCCACACCGCGATCCTTCCTAGTTAATATCACAACTGTCCTGACGCCTCCTTTCGCTGCGATGCCCTGGTTGTCTTTTCAACAAGCTTTAATCGCGACTGTATGATGATCCCTCGTCTTATGTTGTGCCGAGATGGCTGTTCCCCATAAATCTTGTTTTGATACTAATTTGACATGATCCGACATCAAATCGACATGATTTTCCACAGAAATTTGGGCAAACTCATTTTATTTCCCGAACATCAAATCGAAGCAATACAACGCTAAGAACTCATATGGATACAAAAGATAAACACCTACAATTCGGGAGGTAGGCGATTTATATCAATTCTTACAATTCGAGAGAAAAGAAATCTCTCTCAACCCCTAAACCTAAGATACAAGACTTAATCTCATACATAAACCTAATTCTAAATATAATAAGCCTATTTATACCTAACAACAAAAATCAAAGACTAGTTTGACCTTAAGCATACAAAAGACCAAATTGCCCTTAAGCTAGGCACCTGCGTAACATTTGTATCAATAATTTTATAGTATTGATGATTTCATTGTACGTACATATCAAGGTCAAATCTTGTTTGCCCCATTATGAAAATTTTACTTTTGAAACTTTCAATAACAACTTTCATAGTTTATTTTTAATTTCAATTGCCACAGTTTAAATTTCTAGAAAGTTAATATTAGTTTGTTAAAAGATATAATTTTTTGACGATTTAAAATAAAATGCATTTTTAAGATGTGCAATAATAGCAATGATATTTATTAATCTAGATTCACATTTAATTTATATGAAGGAATTGTAGCATGATGTGTGTTATTTAAGTATTGTTGGACTTTATGATAAAAAATTTACAATCTCTCCAATCTTTTCATGATTCTTTTTCTTCTCTTAGGATTAATTCAATGAATGTTGAATGTGTAGATAATCATTTAACATTATTGCGCTTCATAAAATTTTTTATAAATTTATTTTTTTCATGATTAAAGTCACTGAAAAATCTGCACTTGTGATATGTGGTTATGTAGAGGCTTGTGTGTACTACATATAGTAGTCTTAGTAATAGATTATTGTAAAATAACGGGGATGCAATTGGTTTTGAAGGTTGCTTGAGCGTATTAACCTAAATGGTATAAAAAAGCTAAAGATTCTATAACTTTGGTGAAACTCTATATTGTAGACGTCCACTAGAGTTTCTTTGAAAATTTGATACCTCAAATCTAATGGACGTAAAAAAGTTGTTTGGTTTTGAATTACTACGAACCAAAGCTGATTTAAAAGCTCCTATACAACAAAAACTAAAAATCATGGTATGTTTCTTACATTTCTATTCTCACAATTTAAGTATATACATTGTTGTGTTTGTGTGAAATTATGATATCATAAACATGTAAAGCATTTATTAATGATTAATGTTGGTTCAATGGTTTTTTAGATTACATAACCATAATTGATGTTGCTCTGTTTTGCACTTGTTAACGAAATAGTTTTTTTTTTTATTGTAATTAAATATACTTTCTCCCTGTTGTTGAAATGTCTTTGACATTCTTTTTCTAACATCGTTTCTTTTTGCTTCTTAAATACTTCTTTTCTTCTTAAAAAATGATTGATGCTTATGCTTTCTTTTACAAATAGATTCTGTTGACGTTTTTGGAGAACCCCAAAAAGGTTTTTGTCGAGGTTAGTGGTGGCTTTTCTTTTTTACTTGTTGCATAAACTTTTTTTCATTAGTGTTAGCACCATCATAACAATCGATATTTTAGCAGGATTTTCATAATAGTTTAGAAGAAAAGCCTTTTATTATTGATGATGAGTTGGAAGATGGCATTGGTATTGATGATGGCGAGGAGTCCGAGGAAGAATCAGACTTATTTGATTCTGTGTGCGCCATTTGTGATAATGGTGGTGAATTGCTTTGGTATGCGGTTCTTGTCTTTTTCATCATTTTCTTATTTAAATTTGTCAAATATAAGATAAAATTTTAATATGGTATTTATTTTTATGCCTTGAAATACTTTTCTTTGATTTTCAAAATCCTCATTTTGTTAAATTCGTTTTTTGAATGCTTCTGATAAAATTAACACACGTAATTCCTAGAATATGGAAAGCATTTGTGATAATGGTGGTGAATTGCTTCCTCCTTGTCTTCTTCGTCATTTTCTTATTTGAATTTGTCTAATATAAGATAAAATTTTAATATGGTCTTTATTTTCTTATCTTAAAATACTTTTCTTTGAGTTTCAAAATCCTTATTTTGTAAATTCCTTTTTTGAATGCTACTGATAAAATTAATAATCGTAATTCCTAGAATATGGAAAGCATTATGTATTGTCCTCCTCCCTGTTCTTAAGTTGTATTCGTGAATAATGTATTCTATTATCCTTGTCAATGGTAAGGTTCAAAGCCTGTCTTTTTACACCATGATGCCCTTGCAATGCCTAACTAATGGGGAGCTGTTCCACCACATTTATTGTACTTGATAAGAAGCTATTGAGGATACCACTTTAGGACATGCTAGGTAGTTTATGAACAACATCTAATTTGTAGAGGGCACGTGATGTGATGCCCATTGTTTTAGTAACTTTCTTAGGGCATGTTTATGCTAAGGTGATCGGGTGAGCTGGAGCCATATTGAGGCTTGTTGATGCTTGGGAGGTTCTCTATAGTATTGGAGGCCTTCTCGATTAGGCGCTTGCTTGGAATGTAGTGCCCCTCCATAATTGTGACTACCTATGTCAAGTGTTTTTAATTGCGTCATTATTTGAACCTATTTAAAAACGAATAAATGCACCATTTGATAAATTTTAAAATCAACAGTCTGAATCTCCTTGTAATTTTAATGAATAAAAATTTTCTAGTCCACTTATTATTTTTATTTTTGTTGGTTTGTGTGTGAATATTAGCTTAGTCTTTTATTAGTAATAGTTTGTTTGTAAAGTGCAAACTCTGTAGCTCCGGTTGTAGAGACCAACGATTCTCTTTTGATATAGTAAATTCACAGTTATTCATTAATTTTTTAGAGTCATGAGCCAACTTTTGATCGATAATGGTAACATCACGTCAATAATTAAGTCCAAGAATTTTGTTTTTTAGGGATGTGCTTTTGTGGGTGCAAGTCATATCAACACATGGCACTTTAGGAGGACACATAGGTCTTACTTTATACACGGCTTCAAAATGAGAACCTTATCTGCGACAGTGGTATTCTAGAAGTTTGTCAATGGTGCCGTATATTGGATCTTGAGGAAACTTTAGCTAGAGCTTATGACCTTAGTTGACATGGAGATGCAAACTCTCATTGTGTTGTTGTTTTCTAAATTTCATTTCCATGAAATTATACCCTATGATTGGTATTAACGTCAATTTCATTCTAATTTTTACTTATGATAGAGAATAGATTTTGCTTATAACTTGAATGGTCATTGCTTTGATTCTAGATGAAAATATAAAGTACAGCGTGCTTAATAGGTCTATAAAAGTTGCATTAGTATCAATTATATGTTATGTTCCCTGATGATTCATACTCTGAAAGTTTAATGCTGAGTTGTATTTCTATTTCTTTATTTTCTTCTCCACCTATTCTTGAATAAGTATGCGATATGTAAAATTTTGTGGAAACTTTGAATGAAACCAATTTTTCTTGGATATGTAGCTCTTTCATCTTTCAAGCATATTGTGGTCCGCAATTGTCCTTAATTATGTGTGATGCTTAATTATATATCTCTTTTGTTTGCCTTGTTCCTTTCTTCTTTACATAGTATGAATTAATTAATTGATTTGGTTTATTCAGTCTTTCCGTTTTTCTATTTTTTTGGTTAGCAATTTTGTCATGATCTTCAAGTCTACTATTGTACTTATATAATTCAAATTCTGTGTTAATTTCTATGATGAGATCTATTAGTGATTTGTAGTTAAATGTTTTTAATTAAATAGCCAAGCCAACTAGTGATTGATTATGCTATTAGTTTGCTTTCTCTTTGGTACATTGATACCACCCTAGGGCTCCTAAAAGGCGTTTAGGAAGCGGATGTAGTGAGGGTGTGGTTGTGGAATAGCAAGGAAATGAAATAGGGACGGGTGGCTGCGTTTTGAAGGGTAGTTGGGGCTAAATTTTTTGTGGATAGCAGGTTGAATGAGTTAGGCGGCCGTCTTGATAGAAAACAACCGGTGAACGACAAATGGTGAGGTTCGGGTGACGAGGGGGGAACCGCGACCTATTTCTGAGCAAGATATATATACACTACTTGTAAAAAAGAATGATATAACACTCTGAAGAGCATAAAACATATATAAGTCTTTCAAAATTCATAAACTAAACATTAAAAAAATCCAAACAACCCTATTACAACATGTATAGATGTCCTCTAATAGAAAATATGGATAATTATATACATATCACCCGAAACATTGAAATTTATAAATCAAGCGCCCAAATAATTTTTTGAACTATCGAATCGATGTATTTATGCGTGCCATGATCAATCCACTGAGAATTTGATAAAAAAGAAAGATATTGTGAGGTTTTATCATGAAATTTGATATTAGAGTAAGAATTTGGAAAATGGATAAAAGCGAGTGCTTGATTTGTAAATAACAATGTTTTGGATGTTCTGTATGTAGTTGCCCCTAGAAAATAATCTTTCAAAAATAAAAAAAAATAGGAAATAAACTGAAAATATAAAGAAAATCACTGTATTTAGATCTGGATTGCCACTATAGGTGGGATATCCTCTAGCGATTGCGGAAGGTTTTGCGATCTCGCATGGACGGCTTTAACACCCACGTCTTATATGCATGCTTATAGCTCCTTGATTTGAACAACATTAATACGGGTGTGATTAGCATTATATTTTTCATTTAGCTTGTCATCTCGGGTCTGTTGTTCAAAGCGATGGTGATATAGATTGGGATGTTGATAGTAGAATTCAAGTTGGTTGGTTGAAATGGAGGAATGCTTCAGGACTTTGTGTGATCGAAAAGTACTACTTAGGCTGAAAGGAAATTTTTATAAGAGGGTGGTGAGACCTGCAATGCTCTATGGCGCTGAATGTTGGTTTTTAAAGGAGAAGCATAATACTAAGTTAAGTGTTGCCGAGATGAGAATGATTAGGTGGATGAGTGGCTTTACACTTAGAGACAAAATGCAAAATGAATATATCCGTGATAAGGTTGGTGTAGCTCCAGTGACGGACAAAATTCGAGAGAGTCGTCTTAGATGGTTTGGTCACATTAGACGTCGACCATCTGATGATCCGATTAGGAGAGTAGATGTTTTAGATTCGACTTATGTTAAGAAAGACAGAGGTAGGCCTAGCAAAACTCGGGCTTATTGTATAAAAAATGAACTTAATTTATTAGAACTAAATGAAAATATGACACTAAATAGGATGCAATGGAGAAAATGGATTCATGTAACCGACCCCACATTGTGGGATTAAGGATTTGTTGTTGTCGTTGTTGCTGTATTGCTTATCTTTCTAAGGCATATGATATCCTAAGGGGCCGTTTGGAATTACTAGGCTTTCATTTTTATTTGAATGTTTTATGTTTTGACTTGAAATAAAACATACTTGGTTGCAATGACTGTTTTATTGAGTGTTTTTAAAAATGACTTGCTTTGTCTTTAAAATAGTGAATAAAACATTAACAAAATATACTAAACAAATATTTTTTTAAAATAAAAGTAAAAACAAAAGCAAAAATAAAAAATAAAATTGATGCCAAAGAAGTCCTAAGAAAACCATGGAGCTTAAATTTTTCTACATCAATTAGGATTCAGAATGCCAAGCACAATTAGCCCATTTGTTGCAAATGTTATTTTATTTATTTTTAAAAATTAAGTCTTTATCCCTCTAAGTGGGAGCGGCTACATGAATCCTTTTTCTGCATTGTGTCCTATTGATTGCCATAAAATTAAGTCTTTTTCTCCATTGTTGGAGATGTTATGTGGAACCAAAAATCTTAATAACTTCATGTGCTTCATTTTGTCTGTATGCTTTTAGTATTTGTCGGGTTTATGAGCTTGTTATTATGTTCTTTTTATAGCTGTGAAGGAAGATGCTTGAGGTCCTTCCATGCAACTAGGAGAGCTGGAGAAGATTCTGATTGTGCATCGCTTGGCCTCACCAGGTTTCAAGTTGAGGTATAATACTAGTTGCAACATCTTTATTGGAGTTCCCTTTTCATTATTCTTATGGGGATATTATGCATGCATGACAAAATTTATATTTTCATATTCACTGTTTAATCTTTACAGTTTTGTAATTTACCTCCAGATAAAGCTAATAGATATGTTATTTATTGTGTTGATGATCAAGCTGATTTTTCTACCCCATTGCTCAAAATCAGAAAGGCCACAAAATTAGCACACTGGATGGTGGTCACAATCGTACTGCAATATTATGCTCAAGTGTTGTTATGAGGTGCTATAGGTCATGTAAAATTATGCAGAGTTTCCAGGTTTAAATTTCTTTACTATGGGTTTATGACAATGTGTTTTGTGGTGTCAGTTTCTGTAGAGGGGCGATGGGTGGGTAGTTTGGTAACAGGTTAAGGCCAAATCTTCTTCCTTTTTCTATGTCTGGAATTTTTGCAAACTATGTTCTTCCAAAAATTTCATTTTCATAGATTGTGACGCTGCTTTCGGCCTCCCTGGCTGTTTTTGATGCCGGCATGATGTTCCATTACTGTATCCTTTTCAAATAAGCAATTTTGAATATGGGTTCGCAAAAGAAAATTTTTGTTGGTATTTTAACCGTACCATTGTTAACCAATATCTTGACTGCTATTAAATGTGGTTGTGTTGTGCATTTTAAAGATTTGGGTGTTGTTAAATAAGTTTGTGTGTTATTTTGTTTTATTATTTCTTGTGCAAGTTGTAAAGAAAGTTTTTTGGTACAGGCTATGCAAAACTTTTTGTGCAAGAACTGCCAGCTCAAGCAACATCAGTGTTTTGCCTGTGGGAAGCTTGGTTCTTCTGATAAATCCGGAAATCCTGAGGTTGGTCTTTACTAGAAATGATTTTTAATTATTCATAATCTTTTGTTTTCTTTTTAAATAAGCTGCTTATTTGGCTGTTTTCATTCTTTGAAGTGGTTAGAAAATTTAATTTTACTATTTCGCTGATGCAGTAGCTTGCTTGAATGACTTAATGACTTTTTGGAGTTTTATTTATGCTTGTGCTTATGAGTGTGTTCAATGGGGTGCTCTCGGGTTGCATTCTGGCTGTTGTTTGCTTACCTGTGGGGGCACACAAGAATGGATGCATGCTATTTTTGGATATTATGAGCAAAAGCATATGAAGTTTTAGTCTTTTTTTCTTACTCCTTGGAGATGTACGATCAATCATGCTTAATTTTGAGGGATAACCTTAATAAGTTTCTTACCACTTGATTTGTCAAAATAAAATTTAGTTATAAAAAAATGACCTTATCCCAAATAGCTGTGTAATTTTTGGGAGGGAAAAACAATTATTCCACTTCAATTGTCTAAGACTTTGTTACAACAAGATAAATAGCAAGGGAAGACTATCACTTTATGAAAGCCACAAAATCCTCATGCTTAAAAATGGAAATAGAAATTAGCAATAATAGCTAACTCTAATAGTAGAAACTACTAAAATAGAAAATAATAAAAATAGAAGATATCAAAGGAAAAAATTTCTAAAAGTCCTTTGGTGAAGATATCTGTCATGCTTGAAAAGTCCTTTCGTAGCATAGATATCTATCATGTCTGAAAAGTTCTTTGGTGAAGATATCTGCAATTTTTTACGCTATCAGAGTAAAAGGTAGCCCCTCAATCAATCTTCTCTTTTATGAAGTGTCTATCAATCTCGTCATGTTTTGTGTAATCATGTTGCACTTAATTTTTTGTAAGCTTATGGAAGCTTTACTGTCATAGTAGAACTTTAATGACATGTTTATTAGGATTCGTAGCTTTTCAAGAATTCTCTTCAGCATAACATCTCACATATTCCATTAGCCATAACTTGATATTCCACCTCAACACTACTCCTTTCCACCACATTATGATTCTTACTTTGCCATGTAACCAAATTTTCCCAGTCATAAGAATAGTGTCCGGAAGTCTATCTCCTATCAATAACTGAGCCCACCCGTCTACACTGATGTGTACTTCTTTGTTCTGTTATATGGCCTTTTGAATGAGTAGAACCTTACCTGTCGTACTTTTTGGTGTTTGAGATCCCGTTAACTTTTTCAAGGTGTTTCCCATAGGGCGAATACATAAATTGACTTACCGAACTTAAAACAAAGGCAATATTTGCCCGTGTATGTGATAAGTATATCAACTTTCTCGCCAATTTTTAATATCAAGCTGTATTCACTTGATAAACTTACTTCTTATCTCCTAATTTTTAATTGAGATCAATTGGAGTTTTTGCAGGCCTACTACCATTCATCCTGGTTTCTTTTAGAAGATTAAGAATGTATTTCTGTTGGGAAACAACAATTCCTTTCTTTGATCCAGGAACTTGCTTGCCAAGGAAATATCTCAAAGATTTCAATTCCTTGTTCTAAAAAATTCATGAGAGGGAATTCTTCAACTGGTTCATTTCATATACATCATCTATGATGAGAATTATATAATTCACATACACAATCAATATGACTATTTTTCCATTCTTTGAATGTCTGAAGAATATTGTATGATCTCCTGGTCTTGAGTCACGTCCTTTAATAAACATTGTAAATTACTCAAACCACGCTCTCGGTGATTGCTTCAACCCGTGTGTGGACTTTTTTAGTTTACACACATTTGTGCTGAACTTCTCACTACATCCTTGAGGTGCGTCCGTGTACACTTCTTTCTCTATATGTCTTTTTTGAGAAATATATCTTTTATATTTAACTATGTATGGGCCAATCAAGATTATCTACAGGTAATTAATACCATAGATCTGAGTGAATCACTTGGCAACCTGTCGAATCTTGTATTGTTCTAGAGAGTTTGAAACATATTTTTATCAATTTATCTATTGTCATTTTAAATTTGTGAGACTATCATTTGAAGGAATAGGGGAGAAGGCTGCAAGAAAGAAATGTGAACTAAAGCTTTCTTAGTGCTTAAATATTGATCGTAATGTAAGCGCAAGTAAGGTTCTGACTTCAATTTCTATGTCTCTTCCCTTTCATCTTTTAGATTCTTTTGAGAATCCCGTGTTTCTTGAGTCTACCTGATATGGTCTAGAATTAAAAATATCTGGTCCAAGAAAGACATGAATCCATCTTCTAGGGAATACTCATTCCTCAGAAGATTTTTTATTCATGTTTGTTAGATATTTCAGTTGTTTGTGTTGCGCTATGCTAAATGACCTGCTTTTTTTGGGTATGATTGATTAAACTTCTTTAGTTTCTAAATGTCTCCCATATGTTTGAACAAAATTTTAAAAAGTGAAATCAGCAGTTGAGGCATTTTGCCCTAGCGAGGTATGACATAAGTTTGGAGACGGAATAAGCCGTATGTCTTGAAACGAGAAAAATAAAAGTAGAAAGACCAGTGAAATTAAAAATAAATCACAAGTATGACATAAAGTATCAACATATTTATTTAAAATATTATAATAAAGATATAGCTATAATTAATACTCTTGAATGTTAATATAAAATGACAGTTTAAAATGGCATTCAAGATAAGCGCCCATTTAAAATCTTAATATGCCAGGAGGGTTAAAATCCATGGCGGCTCACTCTCATGATCTTTGGAGTGTTCATTATTTGCAATTATTGTATTATCCTTTGATTTTGTGTTATCGTCATCTTCAAAATTTTCTTCAATCATTATAATTTTTTTGTACTCCCTATATTAATTAATATTATTATTAATGTTATTTAGTTTAAAATAATAAATTAATGGCATAATTTAGTATTCCATTATATATAAATCATATTTTAACTTCTCTGAAGCTCCAATCTTATTTTGCTGCATTAAAAAAATAATTGTGAAGTAGAAGCTTTTTTAAATTCAAAGCCTTTTCATCATCAAATAGTACATTGTCAATTAAAGTCAATTCCTGACCTTTTTTTTACATTATTCATTTGTTATCAGATAATAAGTCATCGGCAACCACTAGATCAATTTCTTCATCATCATTTATTTGTTTCAATAACTTGAGGCGTCTATCTTTGAATTTCTTAAAACATGACATAGAGTAACTTGTTCAATTCGTTTTCTAACTTATTTTTTTATTATCTTTGTATACACTTTGTTAAACATGCTATAATTGTATTCACGTGTCGAAGTTGAACTTCTTAGACCATGAACTTGCACTGCAAATACATTTAAGATTTAAGTTCAGGCATATCATCTATCAAAATGCCCACCAATGTTCTAAAGGAGAATAAAAGGGAAATTTTTAATATATATTGAAGTAAAAAAACCTAAAAAATAAAATTTTAGATATAATATAATAAGCAACTGTAAATTTATCAAGAGAATGTGTCTTAATTTTCTTGAATTTTTATGCTATTAAAAAAAGTGTGTCATTTAATATGATTGGGTTTTCTAAGTTTGATCATTTCAAATGAAAATCTTCAAATTAATCATTAGTTTTATGATAGTCAGTCTCATGGATAAGTCTATCCATGTATTGTTTATAAAACTGTTTTAACCTCCTTATCCACATGAAAATACTTTTGACGATGGAATTAGGGGTTTAAATTTTATACAGTAGCGTGCAAATATTGATGTAGTTGATCATCACATTTTTCATTAATAATTTCTTATATTTCTTTTTAAACAATTTATTCTCCTCTTAAATCTCTTGCTAAATTTTCCAGTCTTGTTTATAACTTCATAGATGAATCAACAATTGGAGTTTTTTTTTTTTATCGTCAACCTGGTTAGTATATTCACTAAAGGTGTCACAATCTTCTAAGTGCAATTGAGCCAAAAGGAATCGTCTTTTATTGCAATCTTTTTTACTTCCTTTCTTTCAATTTTTTTGCCCAAGAACTTCCTTCCCATTCTTTAGAAGAAAATGTGTCCCCTAATGGTTGCCATAACTCTTTAAATATTTTTAAATTTAAATTAGCTCTCACGAATCTTGTTCTCATTAAACTCAGTACTTAGGAATGGCTGTAACTAAATTTGTTCATTTTTCTTGCTTTGAGCTTCGCATATTTGTGCTGTGACCTGTGACAGTTGTTCCAACTTCCAACTCGAGCTTCAAATCAGGATAATATGCAGGATATGAAATCTAATAAAGATCCCTCATTTTCTTCTTTATCATCCTTAGTCCAACTTAATAGGCATTTCCGTTATCTATAATTACCTCAACAACAATTCTCTCTTGTACTTCATTAACAACCTCACCAAGCATTTGCAAAGAGTAACCGTGCATCTTTAATGATGAAAGATGTCTCCACAAATTCCAAAAATATACTTCTATACGAATTATTAACAATTCTATGATGCTCTTTTGTTGCTCTTTTGTTTAATTCTTTTTTCTAATGTCTGACGATTAGACATTATTGTTAAGTCCTTTTTCAGCTCACGTCATATTCATTTCATTATTTTTATTATTTTCTTACCTTCTCATCTAACAGCTTGTGAAGCTCATACATGCTAGAAGATCTAGTTCTTGACCATGATGTTCATTTTAGCAAAACATATTAATCCATGAATGACTCCTAGTTACATTAAATGAGATTTCATTTTTATAAAAGCATCTTGCAATATCTAACATTATATATTCTTGTGTTCTTCATTTGAAGTTGGAGTGGAATTATGTAAGCATTATTATTCTAGTATTCCTCAAAAGTTCACAGCGAATCTATCCATTAGTCATGGAGCTCCTCTACTAGAATAGAAAAAGTAACTTTTACTATTGGACCCATTTGTTACGAATCAAAGTGATATCTTCTATCATTTCTTCCCCTTTTTTTATGCCACCACATCTCAGGTGGTGTAAATATGTAAATAATTTGTGCATTCTTTTTTTGCCTTCATTTTCTGACACATGATCTTACATTTAGATGTATGCAAGCTAAGTGAAATTTCAACCTCTTAATGCCCTCAGTAATTCTCTTTTCATTAAATTTTTTTCTTAAGCAAATATAACCTTTCTTTAAATCTCCTTGTACTTCAACTTATGTGTCGTATTTGTAAGTTAGATTTTTTCTTCCAGTGCCACTACTCATTCTTATAAACAACAAAATAATTTGTATTAGATGATTAAGATAATATCAGTAAAAGGAGAAATTTTTAAGACAATCAAATGAATCATAATTAAAAACTTTATGTTAAAATCTATAGAATAAAACGATAGATGATTCATGTTGGCGATTAATAGTTCACGTGTCTGTGCAACTTTAACCAAGGGTGCTAAGGATATTTCACGAGAAATTAAAGATGGCTTCAATTTAAACAGGACAAAGTTTAACAAAAAGAAAGGGCAGGTTAAAAAACACTAGAAATAACATGCCAAGATAGCATTTATTTATTTTTTTATTATAGCTATTCATTCATCTCCGTTATTTAAAATTGATCTTGTAGAAGATTCCTGCATTAATTAACTTATGAAATTTTGTTTATACTTTTCTTCTAGAATTTTAAAAACCTTTTGCGCATATGCTTTTTACAATTTGATTGAAGAAGATTTCATTCAATTAAATCCTATATGCAAAATTGATGAAATGAACCAATCCCAAATCCATAGTGCTAATGATGTTGATGATGATGATACTTTGTTATAATTTTTCATAATTTGAAGGAATTTATATCCAACATCAAAGATTTTACCTTAGATTACCTAGCATTTATCAAAGATTATGAATGCAGATGAAGAAAGTGTTTAAGTTTGTCTCCAGCCTTATTTAGATCAGAAAATTATTGACTCTCTCCCAATAAACATCATTGACTCTCTCCCAATAAACATCTTAACTTTTTGAGCCGCACACTGTGAGCTCATTAAATTCAACACACCCTCCCAAAAATTTTAAGTTGTAGTAAAAACTTAATCTCAGAAAAGAAATAGATTGAAATTCTCATGGATTTCAAATAACCCAATACTTGCTGACACCAAACTTAAAAAAGAAAAGGTATAGACTTCAATCCATTAAATAAACCTAATATTTATAAAACAAACTAATAAAATTAATGTTGAAGAAAAATAAGAGACCATCAGATTGAAAATTAGGTAATCTTTGGAGGTGGCGGACCACTCGTTAGAGTGTATAAAGAGAAGGAGAAGCACCTTCTTTCTTTCTTTCGTATGGTGGCAGTCAGAACAAAGGGTCGTATAGGCACAGTTATCGCTTCAATCCTACTCTCTTGTGATCGGGGTAGCACCGCTACTCTCCTGTTCTCATGGTTTGGACGATGGCTTCTTTTTTCTGCTGCTCTTATGTACTCGGGACAAAGTCATATAGGTGCGTTACCCTATTCTCCCATGCTCGTGCTCTCGCATGATTAGGATGAGTACGGTCCACCTAATAGTTATATTTAGCATTTCTATAATTTATTGTATAATATATAGTGATATTATATTATGGTATAATGCAATAGTTTTTCTTAGATATATTTATTAACGTGCCACCTCAAACGCCTCGAAACATGAAGTCTCCAGGCACCTAAACCTAAAATAAAAAAGGCCCAAGCCTCATTGGCATTAATGAGGCTTAAGCTTCAGACATTTTTTGATTGCCTCTATTCAAGGTGAGCACTTCGAATAATTTATTTTTAATTCATGCAATGAAATGTTCAAAATTCATTTTAGCATTATTCTTATACATCAAACTAAAAAGTCATTAAATCATAAAGTCTAGAATCCCAGCTCCATTAAATGTTGAGTATGATAAGACAACGATCAAACAACCAATAGGAATCAAACAGTGAGAACTCTAAATCAAATGATTTGTTGAGCGGTAAACAACTGCAATCAATGTTTGGGCAAAATTTATTTTATCCCATGTTACAGTTTAACAATCACAGGAGCAGAAGGAAATTCGGCTACACTGAGTCAGCTTCTTTACCAATTCTCCAAATCAGAGACAACAGTAACTAACCGCTGAATTTTTGAACCAACTCAGAGAACAAACCAATCCGACTTAGGGTTAGAGAACTCAACCTGTTCTCAATAAGACCACCATTATGGGCACATTGCGTCAAATTAAACTTGGAGATAAAGTTGTGATAGCCTCAACTCTAAAATCTTGTGCTTATGATGAGTGTAAAATTTGAAGTTTTTATTACTATGTTACCTTATGCACTTGTAAAATACATGCGGGAGCAGTTTCTTGAATGTGTGGGAATCTGCTAGTACCAGAATAAATTTTCTATAATTGTACTATACATTGTGTGTCATTCTTGGAAAAGAAAAACTCCTTTCAGTTTGTTGTGTTTTGATTTTTTATCCTTGTATTATTTGCTATTTTTTTCAGGTTTTTTGCTGTGTTTCGGCGACATGTGGTCGTTTCTACCATCCCAAGTGTGTTGCTGATTTGTTATTTCCAGAAAATAAAGTCGAAGCAACTGAGTTGGGGAAAAGAATAGCTGGTGGGGAGTCTTTTACTTGCACAGTGCATAGATGTATTGTTTGTAAACAAGTTGAAAACAAGGAGGTTGAGGAGTTGCAGTTTGCGATATGTAGAAGGTGCCCTAAGGCATATCATAGAAAATGTTTGCCAAGGCATGTGGAATAGTCTTTGAACTGTGCTATGTGAAATATTTGTTGCCTATAATTGCTCACCTCCAATGTTAATCATATAGGAAAATTGCCTTTGAGGACGATGAAGATGAAGACATCATCCAAAGGGCGTGGGAAGGGCTTCTTCCCAATCGCATCCTTATATACTGTTTGTATGTCTGTATTTTTATTCTTCTTTTGCTATATATAGAGAGAGAGAGAGAGGTTAAAATGGTCCATTTTAGTCTGAGAGTCTAAAAGAACCAATTTAGCCTCCAAACTCTTTGAATGGGGGCTAAAATAAACTTCATCGGAACTATATCAACTCATTAAAAGTGTTTGGGGACAATTATGACACTTTTATAGACTTTGGGACTAAAGTTATACCATAAAGATAGTCAGGGGACTATTTATATGTATTTATGCATGTATGTTTGTGCACTGGGGATGTGTTTTTCTACCTGCCCATATGGAGGATATTCAAATGCTTGTTAGATTTACTATGATTTTTATACTTGACAGGAAGCATGAGATTGATGAGGAGCTTGGAACTCCCTATAGAGATCACATCGTATTTCCTGAACTTCATGAAAAGAAAAGGGAAACGGATGTCCAAAAACCTAAACCGAAGAAATCTTTAGTGGCTTCTGCCAGAATACCAGGCGATCTAAAGTTTTCAAAATTTGCCAAAAGATTTGAGAAGGTTCCCGTGACTGATTCAGATGATTCTATGTCAACTGGTGGTAAAGTATTTACGCAAAAAGTTTTGGACTCTAAGTGGGAAATTCCTAAGAATGATGCAAAATCTGCTGTGAAGAGACTTGAATCAACGGAATTAATGGAATTTGGTTCAACAAAATTTGCTAAACCAATTCTTGACGGTGACAAGGCTTTAACTGCCAAGGCGAAAGTTTCAAAATCTGCAGTTGCTGTGCACGGGAAACTTATTAATACAGCTCCGAAGATATTGCCTGAAATAAGAAAAGAGTAATGTTTTTTTTTTGTCATGCTTTACAAATTTCTACTCTTAAATCCCATTTCAATAGTTCTTTTTAGGTGTTTCTGCTGTCATTTTGCTTTCTTGTTTTATAACAAAATTTAAAAACTGTTTTTCACAATTCACAAATTTTTTTTCATCTATCTTCACCTATTATTTATTTATTTATTTATTTTTCTGTTTGACTTAATCAGTGCTGAAATCCATAGCTAGTGCTTTTCTGTTACAGGTGGAATTGTTTGTTTGATAACCCCCATTTTTCTGCTTTTAGCTCATGGAGGCAGTGGTGGATGGAAACTATTGTGTAAGGAAACATGAAGAGTGTGAGATGATACAGAACGAAATGACAATGTGAAGTAATCAAGAATTTTTTTATTATTGGTTTATATAAATCTTTTTTGCACTGATATAGTTTGGTAGTGGAGATTGCAACTAGGCTGAAGTCTAGCATTGCACCATGTATGCATATAGAATGTGCATATAATATTGATTTAATCAGCTAAATTTAAATCACATTAGATAATAATTTTCAAAAAAATATAATGATATGTTCTACAATTGTAATTGCTAGATATTATGAAGGAAACAAATAAATGGTATAAATAATGAAATGATGAAAGAATAATCAAATGAGATTAAGGGTCTGTTTGGGGCAGCTATTGATTATTTATAATCTGCTGATAAACAGATTATTCTGATAATCTGATAATATGCAGATTATCAGAATAAGCTGACTTGCTGTCTGGGGCAGCTTATTCAGAATAGCTTATTGATAGATGTTGTTGGATAAATGATCTTCATGCCCCTGTTTGGTGAAACTGTTTGCAACAGAACTAAAATGAGAACAGAAGTATATAATACAGATAAAAAAAATCATTACAGATTCGTTCAAAAGATAACATGTTCACACTCTCGTGATTATCAGAAGAAATAGAAAAAAGATAAATACAATTATAACTACAATGAATATATTAAAATATTCAATTTCAAACTCTAGCTACGTCTGTCCTCAGCTGCATTGTCAACCTGGGAAATCATTGTATCCCGATCACTGCTGGCAGTGTAACATGTTAGACTGTCGGCCAATCGGAAGAAACCGCAACGAGCTGAAACATCCTTGTGACAACCGTAAAACTGTCTCCCACTGCTGTGAGGCTGACGTGACGTGAGTAACGGGGTAGGTTGTTCGCAGTAACACAAAACAACTCTATTTGTCTCAGTAATCCTAGAAGACATGTTGCTATAGCTGCCCAAAAAAAAAATCAATTGTCAGATCCTGTAAAAAAATAACAAAAGGACATGGAGATGAAAATAAATCTATAGTGTACGAATTAAAGAAGACTTGGTGGATCAGCTGCCATAGATAACATCTGCGATTGACTCCCTCAAAGCAGTCATCTCAACCACATCCTCAGCGTCATGAACCCCAAATTTGTTAGAGTCAATCTCATCCTCATGGACGGAAGATCCAACCACAAATGCTGATAGTTCTTCGAAGACATTCAATATATCGTTATCAGCCATACTAAAGTCCGTATCTGAATGTGAAGAATGTCATCGGATGAAGTTATGAAGTGTCATTGTTGCCACCATAATATGCACCTACTATTGAAATAAATACGACGACATATCACGTAAGATGACCCATTTCTTTTTTCAAACCCCAAACGTTCTTTCATTTACCCCGCGTAAAGAGGAGTGACGTTTGTTAACTATTTCTTTCCTGTTACGTATGGTGCCACTTGCTCGCTCAAAATCAGGAATATGGTATCTAGTGTCTGGATTTGACTTCAAGTAGCCCCTCTGTATAGGATATCCGACATCAACCAAATTGTATTTCCCTGTTATGGAATGTACTGTTAATGACAAATAATACATATAACTAGTACGTTTATAAATCAAATCATACCTGAAGGCGGTTGAGGAAAACACCGTGATATATTCCTGGTTGCATAGGAGAAAATTCGACTGTCATGTGCACTCCCTTTCCAACCCGCCATGACAAAAGTGAAACACATGTTGAAGTCACATATCGCCATGATATTTTGAATAGTTGAACCACTACGACCAATATACGCCACCTTGTCCTGGCTGGGTAGCCAGACATCGATGTGAGTACTGTCAATTGCACATATGCAGTTCTGTTTTACAACGTTAGAAAAAAAAAATTTTTTGGAAGTAACGTAAAGAAACCAATTGTTACCTTGAAATAAGACATGAAACGGGGATCGTTGGCAATTTCCCCTATAGTACTAGCAAATGATGGATCCTCTGGTTTAACGATTTGAGCTGCCAAACTAACAAGTATCTGTATGCCTTTGGAGAAGTAACGACTTATTGTTTCCGATGAATGTTGAAATCCCTCCATAGCACCTCTAATAAATTCATTCAGTGACAGAATGTATAATATTATAGCCAATACCTCCCTTCTCGACGTTCTAGAAGAACCTTAGAGGTCGTGATTCAAAGATAACTCGTGCAGGAGATCCATAAAAATAGGTACACTCATTCGAAATATGTTGCTGAACCTTATTGGATGTCTAGAAAGTATCTTACCTACCCATTTATCCCCAATAAAACTGGACGTCATATGGGGTATACGAACACTGCTGGATTGGTAATACTCCAACAATAATATTGCAATAGCTACAGCCCATGCCATTCTTTTACGGTGTTCCTGCTGCGGATCCATCATAAATTCAGAAGATGTTAGTTATTTGAACAATTGTTAATACATAGTAGGAGCCATAAATAAGCAAGTAAAACATGAAGCACTTAAAATGAAAATGTGCAAAGATCAACTTATCGATAAGCATTAATCATTTAGAAGTGCACTAAAAAAAGATCCATACAAAGGGCAACATATTAAAATTGCTCATTTAGATATCCATGACATAAAAAAAGCTACAAATAACAACAAATAAAAAAAAAATTCACTCATCGACCAAAACACGCAAATATTCGATGCGCAATTCTGGCTGCAGTGCCATGAATAATTGCTGACGGGTTGGATCCTTGAGTTTCTTGACACACTTTGCATGAAAACGCCTGTCTACAACTACTTCAGGTAGAGAAGCTAAAGTTCCTAGACAGTTCCTAGACATTCAAAGATGATGGTGCTGTTAAGGATTGGAGCAAGTGGTGAACACTAAAAACTTCTATGAGTTGATCAAATGAGTTTTTCACAAAGGTGTCCTTTTCTCTATTTTTTCTACCAATTCTGGGCCTCTTTGAAGGTGAACTGGACTCCCCCATCTCCCTCTGATTACTACACACTTCATCAGCTGTCAACGGCTCAGATGAAAAGTCATCTGGTATGCATGCAAAACCCACTCACTAGGGTTGAATGTAAATTTTCCCGTCACGACAACTCCTTTAAACATAGTCAAGTTTTTCTTCAAAGTCCGGATGAACTCCACTGTTTATATTTCTTCGCTGACGACACTGCCTGTGACATTGTAATGGATGAAGGGGTTAAGTGGGTTTATTAGAGAAAAAAATAAGTAATGTTAGTCAAAATAAAAGTATAAAAGTGAGTTTATTATCTCCAATTTCTTAGCCCACCATTCCTTCGGGGCATCGATTGTCCACTTAATGGGATCCCAACCCAAACCTAAACCGGTACATCCACGTTTGAACTCCTTCCAAAATTTCCATTCATTCTTCAATTGGTCCCATTTATTTTTGAATTTTAGCCTGTCGTAATCCCTGCTAGTTAATTATTTAAACCTCTTCGCAATATTTTGCTAATCTTCCTTGTTAAAATACGTGGTTGACCTATTTCTCAGTTCTATTTCTTTAATATATAGATCGCAAAACATATTTGTTACTTCTTTATCCCACGTAGCAGACGGATCCCCTTCATTCGTTTTAGACACGTTGACATTATAAGGAACTTAAAATATAAGTACAAAGTAAATATTGTAAGTCAACAAAAAAATTATAAACATGATGCAACTTTCTCACCATACAAACTATAGGAGAAAGTTGTACAAAATTATGAGATAAGGAAATAAATCAAATTAAGGCTTTGCTTCATTTTTCATGAAAAAATAAAAAGAAAATGCTCAGCCATGAAATATGGATGGTTTGAACCCATCTTCCTCCACATCACTTCTACAACAATCATCAATTTACAAATAATGGAACGGTTCGAAATCGCGAAAGAACTGCAAAATCCAAAAAGAAATCCGAAAAGAAATTACCTACTAATTGATTTTCTATGCTTTGATCCTCATTAAACAATCATACCCATAAATTATATGCTGGTCTTTTCCATCGACTTCCCATGACTATAATTGGAAATAGAAGTTGAAAATTACCTTAACAAAAACAAAAAAAAATCATTCATGAGACCCATCAACAACAATATAGAAAAGAAAAAACAATAAGCTCCTCGCCATGCAGAACATACAACCTATCCAGTATTTTTTGATGATAATAAGGCAACGGTGAATGAAAAATTTCTAGTGTCAGTTTAGCTTTGCCTAAATTAAAAATTAAACTTTGAACCCAAAATTTTGAAGCCCTCACAGAAACAGAGCAATACCTCCAGTTGATGCATTAACTATTGTTTCATCTCTTTTCTTAACCTGGAAAACTCATGAACTTGCCAAAATGATGGTAACTCATTGAGCTTTTGATGCACCTTTTGATGCACTCACTAAACTCAATGCACTCACTAAACTCATGATGAAATCCACCGATTTTTTATGAAATTGTCAATGTTTAAAAGAGTGTTTAACAAAAGTTGTCCAAGATTAGAAATATTTTCTTAAGCCTTACAACTGCTCTCCAAGCCAATGACTTCATCAAAGAAGATGAGCAATTGCTGCCTAGCAAACTGGCTACAAGTCAGAGTATTCAATTCTAATGAAATTAGGCCAAACATTTATGTACTTTACAACTAGAAATTAATAGATATTGTTATGCACTTTTCTCATTGATGTAACTCTCAAGCCATATATTTAAGCTAGGATATACCAAAAAA